GCCAGTTGTGCAACATATTTTTGTGCAATATTTATTGCACTATTCTTGGCCACAGACAGAAATGCCAAAGGCAGAAAATTGCCCCAGCAATGCAATTGTTTACTCAACATAACAAAAATATTTAGGCCAAATTGATTTTCCAATTTATTTTCCCCCTTTTTTATCTCGAATACAAACTTTTTCACAAAGAAATTTCTGCTTTTTAACTAAATTGTATATTTTGTGCTGTTTGCAGGCTTTGTTTTTTTAGGAATTTCCAACAGAGACTTTGTTGAACAAAATAGTTCAAGGATCATGACATCTCTTTCATGTGGAATAATAACTAAGTGGGCCTAGATTATTATGATTTGTCATATTTACTCACTTGACAAAGACTTTACCATATCTATACCTGAGCATTTCCAACATCTTTAATACTTCATCTTCCTAATTGCCCGGATACCCAATTTTTAAGAGGAATTTCACACTATCTTCCTTTACTAATTAGTATATTTTCACCTGCTCGTGTCCCTAGCTGTTGTGCCACCTCAGTCAACTGCGCTCCACTTGATGTTGCTAATTTTCATTAAGTTCTTGGACGGTTGGCAACTGGCAACTACTTAACTAACCTCCCATTAAAGCCCATCCTTGGCACATAAAAATCCGCAACTAATCACCGCATAAACACAGCCGAAAAACTTTTCCCAATGTTAACTGCCAGCTGCATAAAGAAAAAGACGAAAAAAGTGGGAAGGCAGATACATTCAGTGCGGCTCACATACGCAGCCAATTAGTGGATACTCGTTTACTTTAGTACGCTATAGCTTACTATGCATATATATATAAAGTTCCTTTTGCGTTTAATATACCCTGCAGTTCAAGTTTTTGTAAAAGGTGTTGAATGACTTGCGATAGTTTGTATAAGAATAATGGACAGCATTAACTTAACAGAGCTAGGTTAACAGTAACAAGAGTAACAGAGTATGTTAAGCTGAGCTATGTAAAGAGAAAAAAAGCCACATTGAAATGCTTTCACTTAGTGGACTCACATATAAGACAGTTACATGTAAATATAGGGTATCTGCGCATTAGCATGCGCTTAAGTTTCTTCCACTGCAGCAGCGGAAAGTAGGGGCAAGTGGCAAGAGCCGCGCGCAACATGAACTGCGCGGATATAAACTTGCAATCAGCGGTTATGTTGAGCGAGGCAGAGCCACTCGCACTCGCAACACAGCAACATAATTACACTTGTCAGTTCATTGTGCCACAATGCGGCAAGGAGAGAGCGAGAGAGCGAGGGTAGGAGAGGGAGCGAAAGAGGAAGAGAGAGGGAGCTGTAGACCCTCATTCAGCTGGCATGTAGGCAGATTGAGTGCCCGAGCCGTTGGAAGCGATGCGTGTAACCAACGCGTGTTGCACGTGCCACGACACGAGATAATGATCATGTTAATCACAATGATGATGATAATGATGATGATGATGCTGCATCATGCCGGCCATTTGTTGTGGCTAATTGCGTTAAAGCCGCATGGCTGCCCATTGGAACGTGACACATTTTGGCGCCTCTTTCGGTTAGCGGCTGCAACCAAAAAATTTCAAATATGCACAAATCATTGACCAGCAAACACACAGGCTCACACACACGCACGCAACACACACATGTGCCACAACATTATGAATATAACTGGCAGACAGCTAGACAGGCAGACAGACAACCAGTCAGTGAAGCGTTGCAATAGCTAAACGTTGTCCGCTTTTTGGCCATATTTGTGAGTCAGGCAGCCACAGCCCCTCTCTATGCCTCACCGCACATTCTATGGCTAAATGTCAGCTTCAATCAGCTGTGCAGTCAGCTTGTCGACAACGTCGCTCATCCGCCCCGTGTTCGCAGCGCAACAATTGCGCCGGGCAATAAATTTATCCGCAGTTCTCTTTCACTTCTTTTTTGTTTTTATTCCACTTAAATTTATTGCTCACGTTTTTCCCTTCACTTTGCCGAAGAATGAAATGCATAAAGGCAACCGAAAATAGAAGCAACATTGAAATGCTCTCTCTCTCTCTCTCACTCACACTCACTCTCTCTGTCTCACTCGCATCTATGGATTGTAGCTGCGCTATTTATGGAACTTTTGATTAATGCCGCACATTTTATATTTATTTTGAGCTTTTCTTTTTTATATAATTTAAACTTTTGATCAACTATTTTGTCGCAAGCTGTTTCACAATTTCGCAATTCCTTTGGCACACACAAAAATAAACAACAACAACAGCTAGAGAGAAGTCAAGCCTCAGACTATGGGTTCGATGCGCTGCATGTTGATAGACACAAAACTTTATTCACTGCCAATGTTTTGTTGCCCTCTGTGTGGCATACCAACAACAGTATACCCTACAAAAAAATAGTCAAGAAATGTCTGCGAATAGCATTCTTTAAGAATTGTGGACTTTGTAAACTTAGTGCTGAAATGGTATATATGTGTATCAAAATGATTTAATAATAAATCTAATTGGCAAATATTTTAATTTATACAAATTTATTTACAAGTTAAAAATGCTCTACATTTAAAAGAAATTTGTGTACTAATTCTTTTTTATATTGCCAAAAAAATAAAAAATGGAAAAGTAGAATTAAAAATTGTTTGTTTTGATTCAATTTTATTTATAAAAATAAATTTTGAAATTTTTTAAATTTTGCTCTGCTATTATCATTTTTATTTAAAATAAATAAAAAATTTAAAATGTATGTGAAATAGTGACTTAAATAAATTCTTATTCAATTTATATTGAACTATAATTTATCTCAATTTTATATACAAAATAAATGTACAATTAATAAATCATCATAAATCATCAATGGAAAACATTTGTTTTTTTTTTTGAATATTTTAATATAAATATGCTGATATTTTATATCGAGTTGTATGCCGATTGTTGACTTATATCTTTACTAGAATTATTCAGTATCATATACACTTAAGACTCTTTGAATTACACGCTCTGATTAATAAAGATAATTTAAATTAGAATTTTAAATTTCAAATATTTTAATTTAGATATAAAATGTAAGTTATATTTAACTAAATTGCTGATATTATATATGCGCAGGATATTACGTAGTCCAGCATGCTCAGCCCAAGGCTTTTAAAGTCGATTTTTCTTGTACGCGTGTGTCGGCATTTTCGCATGTTAGACACAGACACACAGACACACACACTTACACACAGCTACTAGTGAAAGGAGCAGTTTGAGCCATAAATAAAATTTAAGCTACACGATGACGACAACAGCTCATATGTGTGTGTGTGCGTGAGTGTATTTGAATGTGTGCGTGTGTGAGCACTCAAGCAACAAAAGGTAGAGCAGCGGCATTTGATTTATGATTGCTCAGCCAGTGAGGTTAAGACTTTGAAAATATTTTCACAGACACACAAAATGCGGAGTAAACGGGCGCACGATACAGGCAACAGGAACAGAGCAGGCCTATGGGGCAGGGGCAACAGTGGGGTGGTGGTGGGGGGTAAATAAGTTGAATGGCAGCCGCAACGGGTCTGAAAACACAACTACCTAAGCGGCAGGTCCTTGGCTGTCTCGTGTGTGTGTGTGCTTGGCAGCCATAAAGCTTTTATTAGTGGCGGCCATAGCTAGCGCTAAGCATAATGAAAGTCACCTACACACACACATGCACACGTGCACACTCTCATATCCTTTATGTTGCTGCCGTTCAATCTAATGTCGCACATGTCAAAAACTGTGGAAATTTGCCTAAAGAATTTCGCACGTTCTGCCTGCACTTGCCGCCTGTATGGCTATCTGGCTGTCTGGCTGTGCCACTTCCTTTAGCCCGGTTCGTGCCTGTGCGCCTTATCGAGCCAATATCAAGTTGTGCAACTTTTTGGCCATAAGTCTGGCAAAGTTGCTGCAGGACTCAATCTCAATCTCAATTCCAGCTCTTGTTTTTCGGCATATCAACATGCATATGCTGAACGTCAATCGCTGTCTCCCTCTCACACTCTCTCTCTCTCTCTCTCTCTCTCTCTGTCTGTCTCGTTCACATAGTTCAAGTCTCGCATTTGCCTATCCAGCTGAAAGGCATTTTAATGCAGCCCTTGGCATGAAAAAACAATTAAAGTTCTATTAGGCGGCAAATGCAAATACTTTGCTTCGCATTTAAAGCTGTCACACACACACACACGCACACACACTCATACACACTCTCACATAACTGTCGCTTAACTGTTTTTTGCCAGTTTAGTGCAAAAGCCGTTTTAATTGTTTCGTTAAATGAGCCAAGCAGCAGCAGCAGCAGTTGAAAAAAAAACATGTAAAACGACTTAAGTAGGCAATGCTCAACTAGCAAATACCCTGTACACTGTTCATGTTTGTAATGCTGATTGACATTTGAAATATAATAGTTTCTGAAGCCAACTCTACTTTAATTGATTTCAGTTGCTCTCAGTCTTTCGAAACAACCCAAGACTCTCACTGGCTTAAACGAACCCTTTTGGCCAACTCTTAGATTCACAGAGTATGCTGCGAAAGGGCTTAAGTATTAAAAGTTGGCGCATAAAAGGTTCTGCATGTTCTTTTATTGGTGCAGATATGAAGAGCTTAAGACTCAAAATGAAACCGAATAAAAATGACTTTTATTTGGTCTTAAACTGAAGTTTATTTTAAAAGTGGGAATTCGGGTTGATTTGATTTGGGTAAATGGGCTCAAACAACTGCTGTTCATACAGAAATAATTGAAAAATATATATAAATATATATATATATATATATATAAATAAAAAATTATATATAAAATAAAAGATTTATGAAAAGTTAAGATTTCTCAATTATCAAAAATGTTTAAAAAAATATAAAAAATATAAAAAATATTAACGAACAGATCATTTAATCTAATATAAAATAAAAGACGAGACATGCTCTCAGGTCATCAAGCTTAGCTTTTTAGTATACTTCAATCAAGCCACATAAACTTCAATCTATTTTAAAATCTGATCAAATTGTAAATTCTTGAACTTATCTAGTTCATTTCCTTTTAAAATGTTCTGCTTGTGCGCAGACAGTCAGCAGTCGCAGACTGCGTTATTTTCTTTCTAAAGGAAGCGACTGAACTCAAGTGATTGGCACTTGTGAGTTGAGTTCTTGAACAAGTTTTGACCATTGTGAACATTAGTTTTTTTTCCACACAGAAAGTTTTTCTGTGTAACAGAAATTTGTTTAAAGTTCAATGCGAATGTTTGTCAATATGTTTTATCAAATGCCGACAATATTTGCACATGCATAAATTTGTCGATATACAAAAGAGAGAAAGACACAGAGAGAGAGAGAGATAGAGAGAATGTCCATTTGGGAGTTTTATGTTTGTGCCAATAAAGTTTTATTTTATTATTTGCTAGAGTCGAGGGGGGTGGCTATAGAGGGGCAGTGACAACGGCAGTCGCATGTTTGCGACTATTGAATTTATGCTTCCACTATACACACCCAAACACACACACACACACACACGCACACACAATGCATTCACACTATGTATTTTTTTGTACGCACGTCGCTTGGGCAAATAAAACATGTTGAGCTCTCTTCCTCTCCAGCTCCCTTTCGGTCTGTTGCCCAAATTCAAACTTATCGAATTTATGTTTGACTGTGTATTGAATTTTAATGCTGGCTGGCATTTGGAATTGTGCGAGCATCCTTTTGCCCTATTACGCCCACGCAGTGCCCCTCGGCTATCAGCTCGAGCTGCTTGAGGGAATTCGCCTGAAAAACTACTTAAAATAAACTCATCCTCATGGCGGGCGCTCCGATTGGATGCTGCGAAGAGAAAAACTATATCAACTATATAGAAATAAAATGAAATGGAGGAAAACTTGTTGCCAGCCAAATGCGTGGCAGTAAATATATAAAAATATATTCTCTAAAAATATGTTTACAAAATTCTTTCATTTCTTTTTTGTCAGCTGCAACCGCAATCAAATCACGCTGCCAGAGCTGATGGCTGGGATTTTCTGCTGAATGCTTGAAGGCAGGATTGATGTTGTTGTTACTGATCTTGCTGTTGTTGTTGTTGTCCTGTTGCAATCATTGCAAAGTTTTGCCTTGGTGACATTTACATGAAAGAGGAAGCATCAAATGCAGCCACGCCTCTTCTCTAACAGGCAGCGCATTGCCATTAATGCAAGAATTTATGGATGGCAACTAACAACAGCAACAACAGCAGCAACAGCAGCAGCAGCAACAACTACAATTCACAATGTTAACGCCACTGTGCGTTGTTAGCAGTTTCAAGTGTCTGGGAAACGGTGCAAGAGGAGAACGGAAGCAGCAGCAGCAGCAGCAACAATGCAACAAGGCAGCAACTGTGCTGATAACCATAACACTGAGTGATATACGTATGCACCCAGTAGAACTTTAAGCCATGAATAACATACAGAACTCTTATGCAACTATAAGAGATTGTACTTAAGAAAAACCAATTCTTTCGATTAAGTTTTAATTAATGTCAATGATTTCTTGTCTTCTGCACAAAATAAATATATAAGTTTGTTAAGAACAGCTTTAAACATCATTAACATTCATTAAATGTATATATTTTTAAGAGTATCTACACAAAAAAAGAAATTCCGAACGAGCTTTTTTCTGATTGTTGCTAAATTGATTAATTATTACTTATATTATTTATTTGGCCTTTTGAAACATTGAAATAAATATTTATTTAAATTACAATAATCTATCACACTTAATAAAAACCTAAATAATGTCTTCTATAAATTTTAAATTCTATTTCTTTTTTAGGTATATAAATTTTTTTTTTTTAATTTATTTTTTATTTTTTATATTTTATATTTTCATTCTGCCCCGTAACAATTTCCAAATAATCCTAATATTCTACTAAATAATCTTGCAGTTCCATTTTCAAGCTCATTTCTTGACCTTAAATCCAGTTGACTTTGCTCTGGACACATTTTCGTGCAGCTGGGTATATGTGAGTTCAGCTCTGCAAGTGCGCGTCTAGTACGTGTATGTGTGTGTGTGTGTGTGTTTGCTGCCTTATTGCTTAACGCAGCAAAAGCATTGGCGCAGGCGTTGCAGCGTAACAAGAGACGCGTCCCTACTAATTTCTGCAGCACATGCAATTTTTTTCGTCTGTTGTCGCCCAGGCACTCACTTCCTCTGTCCCTCTCTCTCTCTCTGTCTCTGACACTTGCTCTCTTTTACTCACGCATCAACACTCAACTGTTTCGCTCATGCACACACGCATATCAGAGCACCTAGATCTCCTGGTTGCCTGCACTTGTGACAGATTTTTAATACGCTTTCCGGCTCATAGGAAGCACTGGAATTACGTTTGCCGAGACTTGCGGCAAAATTGTGTGTGAATTGGTAGCGAATGGAAGACTTCGAACAGGTCACATTCTATACCCAATTGCTTGGGTGCTACTACTATTCTTAAGAAGAAAATCATATTAAAGATTGAAGTTGCACTGTTGACTGTGATTTATAACTGCAGCTTATAAGAGTTATTAAATTTATATATAGTTATTAAATTTATATATATGTAAGAAGTCTCTATATAAGTAATGAATAGAATACAATTTTCGGTAGCTTTAGATTTAAACATTGAACTTTCTACATACAAATAAAAGTATAATCGACATATTTCCGGCATTTGGCTGAATAAATCTAATCAAAATGTATCTTTGACAAATGTTAACTCAGTTACATTTTAGATAATAAACTTATTTTTGATAGAAATAATACATAATTAAACTTATATGTAAATAAAATAAATTAGTTTTAATTAACATTTTTATTATTTTTATTAAACAAAAAAGTGTTATAATTTTAATTTATATTTTTATTTAGTCATAAATATTTAATTTAGATATTATTAATATATAAATTAACGAAATTACTTTTTAAAACTCAATAGAAAAAAGTGAAAATAAAAATTAAAATAAAATTCTATATTTAAATATATATAAAAAATATAAATCTTTATATTTTTAAACTTAAAAAAAATGCGCACAAAATATATACAATTTTATTTTTATCTGTTTCTTTAAATAAAATATTTTTATCTCTTCAAAATTCTCTAAAATTCTATATTTTAATAAATACAAAATTATACAAATTTGTATAAATACCCGTAAATAATAGCAAAATAGGAAAATCACTTTACAGCCTACTTCTCTGTGATAAAAAAAAAGGTTCCATCTATTTAAAAAATAATAAAATTTCTAATAAATTTTGTTTCCGTCTGAAGTCGAAATAGGCAAAACACAAATATGGAAAACTTGACAGCTTCGTAGCACTGTGTTGGGAGAAGGAACAGATACGTGTAGAGCATGCCGAGCATTAACTAACATCGAATTGTATGCCCGGAATATAGAAACTGGGCAAAGGTGTCTGTGGATCGGGGCACGTGTCCCGAAAAATGGCAAATTTTATAAACAATCCCTCGCAGCAGAACTACTACTTCAAGAAGAGCATCGCCTACACTGAGGATCACATTGTGGTAAAGAAGTTGTTCCTCTACAATGTGGCAGCCGAGGCAAGTGGGTGTGGCCTTTGCTTATGGTATATATAGTTAGTGATATGAGCTGTTCTCTTGCAGCTGATGCAGCAGGAGGTGCAAACCTATTTCGAGGGCTTCGGCCGTGTGCTGCGGCTGCAGCTGTTCGCCACCCACGCAAATCGCAAGCAGCAGCCGCGCGACTGCTGCCGCAAAACAAAAACGGGCTATGTCTACTTTACCAATCCGCGCGACGCGGCCAAGGCGCTGCGCAAGACGCTGCACACGGTCAATGGGCGCCGTCTGTCGGTGCAGGCCAACGACAGCTGGCATCAGCCAGACGCGTATGGCAGCAACTCGGATGAGCCGGCAGCAGCAGCAACTGCAGTTGCTACGGCATCGCACATATTGAATCTGAATGATCATTGCCTGGAGCACATCATACGCTTGCTCTCGCTGCCCGATCGCATACACTTTGCTAGGACCTGCACACGCTTTCGCACCGTCTATCAGCAGGTGTCGCCGGCACTGAATCGCAGCATCAGCTTCGACGTCTTCGACGCGATGACCGTGTGGGATATGCGTGACTTCTTCATACTGTCTGGCCGGCATGTCCTGCACATCGAGGGCATCATACCACCCGGTCGCTGCCAAAGATTCTGCGAGTTCTTCGGGCTGCACTGCGTCAATCTGCGCACGATGCGCGTCACAGCGAGCAAACTGAGTGTGCGCAACATGCACAAGATCTTCGCCAGGCTGGATCAGCTGGAGGAGCTGCAGCTGCGCGCCTGTGCTCTAAACAATTCCAGCCTGATGGCCCTGAAGCATCTGCGGCAGCTGAAGAGTCTGGATCTGTCGGACAACCACCAGCTGACCGGAGTCAACATGAATTGTCTGCCCCCGAGCATTGAGTACCTGAGTCTGACCAGCTGCAACGGGCTGCAGTCGAAGTATTTGCCGAAGATGTGCAAGGCGCTGCCCCAGCTGCGAGAGCTCAACATGAAAGCCGTCTATACAGTAACCACGGGCTTCCAGCAGATGGTCAGCGGCAAATGCTGCTTGTCGCTCGAGGTGCTCACCTTGAGCAGTGGCCCGGCCAATGAATACGAGCATATAGCCAAGTTTCCGGCCCTGAAGAAGCTGGTACTGTACAGTTACGAGCAGGGCACCACGCTGCGGCCGGAGCTGCTCACCTGGCTGGTGGAGCACAAGTCACAGCAGCTGCTGCACTTTGAGGCACGTGGCCAGAACTCCATAAATGCGGAAATGCTAGCACAGATCGGGCAGCTGCATGCCTTGCACACGCTCTGCCTGCCGCACAACAATACTGTGGGGGATCGGGAGCTGGAGTCGATCCGGCTGCCCCAGCTGGAGCAGATCAATCTCAAGTATTGGCCAAATCTGAGCAACAATGCAGTGCTGCGACTGCTGCTCGCCTGCCCCAAACTGCGCGAGCTGCACCTGGAGGAGTGTCCGCGTCTGACCGAGAAGCTCCTGCACGACATCATCTTCAAGCTGCGTCTGCAGCTGCGCGACAAGCTGAACCAGCGACAGTTGCCCATTCGCATGCACGTCTATGGCAGCAAGATAAACGAGTTTAGTCTGCAGCACCTGGACGTTGCAGCCAAGGACATTGTCCATGCTTGTCTGACGCCGCCGTCGTCCTCGGATCTGTGCCTGGTGCGCATGTCGAATCTGCTCGAATTCGACTTCTATTCGGATGACTACGACAGCTTTGGCTCCGATGACGAGCTGGATCCCGACTACGATCGGTACATGGTGAACGAGGGCTTCCTCAGCGATGAGGAGTACGACTACCAGGACATGGTCTTCCACGACGATGATCTATTTGTGATAAATATGGAGAATGTCGCCGAGTTGTTTAACAACTGGAATGCAAACGCGAACCGAAATGCGAATGCAAATGCGAATGCGAATGCGAACGCTAACGCGAATGCGAATCTAAATGCGAATCGTAACGTAAACAGAAATGGGTAATCTGAGTGAACAATATTTCCACTTGTACATATTTAAATAGATATAGGGTATCTATTTTTGGTCATTAAGTTAAGTACGACGCTTTCTTAGTATTCTTAGTAGCTGGTATAGATTAGGTAGCTATCAATGTGATTAAATAATTTAAGTGTATTCAGTAGTCCACAATATTTAATAAATATGAAAAATATAAATTGAATATACAGAATTTTGATTAAAGCAATTCGAAAGCGAATTCAATGCTTCAAAATTCTATTCAAATTTTATACGCTTTCCTTAAAATGTATACTTAAGTAGACCCGTGACAAAATTTGTAATTGTTTAATTTTGTAGGCTAATTGAGCTATATTTATATGATGATACGAAATAAGCAATTTTAAAATAATTTATTTACATATATCAAAATTGTATATACATTGTAATAATTATATATAAAATGTGAAAATGGAAATGGAAAATGTTTGAGTATTCAAATAAAAAAAAATTGAAAAAATACTTTAAAAATTAAAATAAAAATACTTTTTAAACATGAAACTTTTTTAAATATATTTGTATATTCTGAAATTTAATATATAATAGATATAAAGCAAACAATTGAAAAAAGTTATAAAAAATATTAAATGCAAATTTTCTTATTGCTGAATAAATATAAAATCTTTTGCAGAAAAAATTTTAAAAACAAATATAAAAAAAAAACAAAATCTTGTGTTAAATTAAAATGGTGTTTAAATAAAAAACTTTCAAAATATTTAAAAATTAAAAATAAAAAATAAAAGTTTTAAGCAATTATAGACAGTAACAAATAAATAAATGTGCCAAACTAATTAAAAAAATGATTTAAAAAATAAACTTACTGATTTTAGATCTCACTTCTATTTTACAGTACAAACAATATTGATTGCAAAAGTAAACAAATAACAAAAATTTGCAAAATCAGCTAGAAAAAGATTTATTTTCAATCAAATTCATATTTAATTAAATAAGTTTTCAGAGCAGATGGAATTATATTTGCATTCAAGTAAACATATAATTGTTATGCTCCAAGCACTTAGCTAAGTTCAAGAGCTTCTACAAAATTCGATACACAATCAAAGAAATGCAACTTTTCTAAATTGTTTACAAAAAGGAATCAGACTTGAATCGAGTAGCCGAAAAACTTTCGAAATATTCTGACTGCGTTGTTAAGTGTATTTGCTTAGTGCTCTATTCCCAGCTTAAGAGTATTTGTGGGGTGCTCTATTCCTTAAGCATGATTCATGTGCACATTTTCGTTCATGTGGGCATTAAACAAGTGCGCTGAAAGCGCCTGAAAGTGTGCTTTAAAAAAGTATAGTAAACATTTTTATGTCTTCCACTCCACATTGGAGCTCAATAAAAATTGATATTGCGCCGCCTGCGTCGACAGAGCACAACAAGCAGCGAAGACAGGGTGAATGTAGACACTTATATATAGATAGATATATATATAGCTGTATATAGATATGTATCTATGTGTGTTATAGGTAATGTGTGTTCAATTTTTATGCCTGGTACGTACACACACGTAACTGTTTGTTATTTTGTATTGCTTTTGGCCTTGTGGCTTTTTCTTGGTGCAGCTGCCAAATGTCTGCCAGATATATATGTGGAAGTCTATTAAGTTAATGTCGCGTAATTTAACAAACTGTCAAAATGGCTTGGCACAGAAGTAACGGCAAGTGCACACGATATGTACAGTTGCCTCTTTCTTTTGCCTTTTTCTCTTCGACTTTCCTTACATTGACGGCAACGACGCCAAATTGTATGCCACACACATCTCTTTCGATTGTTGCAAGCACCCGAATTGTGCTCGTCTTTTTTTTTTTGCCACAAACTGCATTAAACTTTGGAACACATCTTAAAGTTGAGCCCCCAAGTTGGACTACACGCATTTTCGACCAGGCCGCGAACATGCCACAAAATGTCAACCACAGCGCGAAAACTGGCAACCGGAAAGTACGACACGACTTTCTGCTGTTATTATATTCGCATTTAGCTCGACAAACTTTGCCGCGCCAGCTTCAGCGTTGCGTGAATTATATAAATATAGCAACAATTCTAAACAAATGGCACACACGCACACCTACACGTGTGTCCGCACACCCACATGCATACGATGATTGCGTTGGGCTAACATTTTTAATTGGGCTTAAAAGCTTTCAATTATTTATATATCCTAGAAAATATTTGTATGCTTTTGTGACTTATAAATATATCGAATTTCATGAATAAAAATATTTAAGAGTTGCATAAGAATGTATATTAAAGGCTTAAAAGCTTTTCCTTACTTATAAATAATTGTTAAATAAGTCTTAGAGGAATATGTATTTTAGAGAAGTTATATATTCCCATATGATTTATTAAAAAATATATTCATTTTCGTGGAAAGACACAAGTTTTAAGAAATTGAAAATATAAATATAAATATAATTTTTCTGTATAAATTTAAATATTTATAAATATATAAATATATATAAATAATAGAAAACAGAAATTTCTTTTAATAATGCATTTTTTTTAAATTCTGCGCCACACACAGAGTTTAGTATGGAGTGACCAAGCTTAAGTGATACTTTCTGAACCGCGCATAGCCGGTTAACATTTCAGTTATAGTATGAATGATATATATAAAGTATACCTGCTTGAAGTTTACCTGCTTTAACCAGCAAATAAACACAAATAGCTGCAATCAATTAAAAATTATCAAAAAAGGAAAAGATTTTTAACAGCAAAATAATAAAAAGAAAAATGAGAAAATGCCAAAATTCGAAAATATATTTCCTTTGTGTTGAATTTTTTTCGCAAAAAGTGTTTTTTTTTTGGTATTTTGTTTCAGCAACGCTCGATTGCCGTTGATGCGTTCAAAGTCGTCGAAGCGCTGCAGCTATACAAATTTCATAGCATACTTTTACGGGCGCTTCCGTTTTGTAAACAAGCGGCAAATGGGTGGGGAGAGAGGAGGGGGAGGGTAGAGCGAATGGCACGCAAAACTTGAAAAAGTATAAAATTGATTTTATGCAATGGCAAATGGCAAATGGCATTGGCAATGGCCATAACAGACGCTTCATATGATGCTATATCTCGCTCTTTAGCAAAGATACGCGTAGTCCCCGTTTGAATATGCATACGATTGCTTGTTTGCAAATTGCAACTGCAGCTGGCATTATGCCACGTGGCAAGTGCACATTTAGCAACTTATTTGACCCAAATATAAATATATATATAAATATATGAAACTGAATGTGCATTTTGCATTGTTAATTGCCAATGGAATGCGCGTCTGAAATTTATGCCACATGCCCCAAACAACTGCAAATTATTTATGCATTTTGCGTGTACTGCCAAATACTGAATAGCCATATATATATATTTATAAAAGCTATATATATTTATAAATTATCGTGCAATTGGCAGTTGCATTAGTTCGCGTGCAATTATGCTAATGGAATAAATGGAAATTTTGATATTTTGATATTTTGATTATATTCATGGTATTTAGTCACAAATATGACATGTTATTAAATAAAGCTTAGCTAATTTTGTTTATCCAGTTGAGGTAGAGGGAGAGCGTGGAAATAGCACATTTCATTTGCATGTAAATTTCATCTGTTTAAATTGTATTTATAATTTAAGTAAATATTTCGAAGCACAATAAAGCTATTAACGAAAAAATATCAAAATAAATACAAGCAATTATGATTGACATAAATGAATAATTTAATTATATAAGCTAATAGAAAAGTAAATTCTGGTTATGAGTGCCTCTGGCACGCCCCTTTCTGCCTGTTACATTCATTTAAAACCCTCGAACTCCCATTTTTAAGGGGTTACAAAATGTTTCTAGAAAAAGTTAAGATAAAAAATAATAAAACAAAAATAAATAAAAATGTCATATATTTAAGTCTTTTATGGGTCTGTTCACACCACCTTTGAACTTGTTTTTTTTTTTAAATTTCTCTCAGTGTATTAATCATAAATTCAACAATATTTAATCAACTTATATCACATAGAAAATTTGCATAAAAATTCACTTTCGATTCTTTAATTTCATAGATTTTCAGTTGGCATTGTGAATCGTTGAAGTGTAAGGGCTGCGACTGTTGCAGCTGCTGGTGTCCAGTTGCAACTGGCAGCAACAGTGAACTTCGATGCTTTGTTCGAGCACTACTTAGATGTCACGTGTCCTTTGTCGAGCTTTGGCAGCTGGTCATGCGTTAATTTTGAGCCAATTTCATGCGCTTCGACGAGCTGGCACTGGATGGAAATATGAAGAAAAAGGATTTGAAAGCAAAGCTCAAGAGAAATGGTTCATGGCTCAGTTTACGCGCTAATGAAGTGTTTAAGCATAGTATTACGCATTACACATACGCCGAGTGTGCGGCTCACATTACGCATACGCCCGGCTGTGCGTAAGCTAAAAACTCTCTCGGTAAACATTTGCATATCGCACAGCCGGGCTGGGATTTTGTTTATCTTCCGTGCTGAGAAGCAAGGAACCAAACAAGGATAAGAAAGGAAACGCTGCAGTAAAGGAAAAATTGAAATAGGGCAAAAACAAGTTAACGCTGATTGCACAAAGCCGTGCGGATTTGTAGACCGCTGCACAGTGCTGAAAAAGTCAGGCAAAACACGAAATTAAGCAGTGCCTCGCCCTGTGTGTGTGAGTGTGAGTGTGTACAGGATACATTAACAAAATTAGCGCAGCAAGGCGTTCAAGGCAACATCTAAACACACACAGCATGAAGAGCCGCTTCAATGCCGCCGGCAAATCAACAACAAATCGACGCGAAGAGCGGGAGCCAGCAAAATTCCAATTCCAATTCCAGAGCTCGGAGCAGGAGGGCTCCACTCAACACTCTTTTGCCAAATTGCCGGAAGTTTTGTGCGATTAAAGCGCCATTATCGATGTGAATTATTTTAACATACACACACACACACACACACACAGACACACCTTTTGAACGGCAATCAATTTGTTGCGGGCTTTAAAAAGTAATTGCCGCGCATTTGTCGCAGTGGCAAGTGTGAAAAGGAGAGAAACAGCAAGAGAAAAGGAGAGTAGCGCAAACTTTGCCTCAAGTTGAAAATTCAAATTAAACTTTCGCTAGTTTTTGTGATTTGTTGCCCTGCGGTTCGCACTTACA